CAGGTCTTGTTAAATATGCAGTGGAGTCTGTTTAAACTGAAATTGTTTCGGACTAGACATTGAATCCGTTAGAAAAACACATTCTGCATTTGTCAGATTCGTTGAGCTCCATGGTAACTTTGATGAGAATGTAACACTGGGACAAATAGGTCAAGGGGAAGGAAGTGTTTTGTTCTGTGCGAGAAAGTTTTTCATAACAGATTTGATTTTTGCATTTTATTCATTTTAGTTATGTTTGGATGCAGGACATGTACCTCTGTTTGGTGTAAGTTTCAGAAATGATAAATATATGAGTTCATTGTCCCAGGAATTTGCCTGGATCTGTCTATTCGTGTGTCCTGGTGTGTGCGGTGGGGTAGCCTTGTGATTAAAGCATTCACTCATCACACCGTAGGCCCAGGTTCGATTCCCCACATGGGTACAATGTGTGAGGCCTATTTCTGGTGCTCCCCGCCATGATAGTGCTGGAATATTGCTAAAAGTGGATTAAACCCATCTCTCTCTCTCATCATCCTCTGACAATGTGGGAAGTTGCTTGTAGTATTATTTGCAGGTTTGTCTGGTCCAGACTTGAACATAGGCCACCATATAGCTGAGAAATTGCTGACTGTAGCTTTAAACACCACTCACTTACTAAGTCACTGACTCACTGATGGAACTACTGCTGAAACAAGTACATTTCTGGAGAATTAGTTGGTATTGCATCATAATTGTCTTGATTTCTCTTGATTTAATCTCGGACCAGTGTAGGGAGTGTAGACGTCCACAGTGGACATATTTGACATTAGATTAACTACAAAGTACAGGGACTGTAAAATTGGAAAGTATTCTGATGTAGAGATACATGATGACTTTAAGGTGTTCTGTTGAAATAAGAATAGAATGTTTGATTACTTAATGAAATATGTGATTTTAGAAATTTGTCATGAGAGTCCTTGACAGATTGCAACATGGGAAGAGTATTCTGAACCTGTTGTGTAAACTGTACAACACTGACACAGCTGTACCGGGCCCAAATGAGTTAATAATATCCTTATGTGTTAAGATAAATTCTTAATAAAAAGTGTCAAAAATTGAATATTGTCAGTTATGTGTTCTTTGTGTGGTGTACATATCTAGTGGTAAAGGCTTGTCATGGTGATGTTCATTGGTGTATTTTAGCAAACATGTATGCAAGCAAGGCAGGTCAATCTTTATTTGTTTGTTTGGTTGGTTGTTGTTTAACGCTGCACTCAGCAATGTTCCAGCTATATGACGGCGGTCTGTAAAAAATCTGGACAAGACAATCCAGTGATTGACATGAACATCAATCCACACAATTGGGACAGGATGACTTGCATCAAGTTAGGGAGACTGACTATCTGATCCCGTTACATTAGTCGCCTCTTACGGCAAGCATGGGTTGCTGAAGACCCGGAATCTTCAGGGATCGGTCAAGCTTGAAATTGGTACTGAAGGCTTGTTAATAAAAGTGACTGTATCAGACCCCTGAAGATCTGGGTTGAGAATAAGTCTTCAGCAAAATGTGCTTGCTATAACAGACAACTATGCTTGTCATGTGGCGAGAGGCACTTAAAGGGATCCAGTGGTCAGCTTGCTGACTTGGTTGATGCATGTTGATGCAAAGTAACCGGAGGTTTCATGTCAACATTGAACTATGCATGTTCGGAATCGAACCCAGATCTTCCATGTGACGAGCCAACGCTTCACCTGCCTGGTTTCCCCACTGCGCCTGTGCACACACACGCACGCACACACACACACACATGCACTCACTCACTCACATCTTACTCAGGACAAACATTGAGCAAGTGAGTTGGGTTTAACACCCCTTTTAACATCATTTCAGTTATTTCCCAGTGTGTGAACTTCATATAGGAGGAAAGCCTGAAGAGATGCAGGTCTTAGACGATTACCATTTTAGTGGCACTCATCAGCACCCGCATGTTTGGCGCGGACAAACCAAGAATCATAATCAGGACGAAACTGGAATTCGAACCAACGATCATCCGATTCCTGTACGTCTATGAGGCTGCATGAACAAAATTGAATGTTTCTGGTTCACATTTTCTCAAAAGTGGGGAGGGCGGTAAGGCTTCATCTTTTATTTATTTTCAAGAAAAGTGGTACATTTTCCACAAGGATTTACTAACAAACTCAAATGGACACATAATGATATATATTCGGCCTTGTAATACATTGTCAGTTGTCAAGCACTTTGTCTAACGGATAACAAAGTATGCTTCATACGACGTGGATTTCAAGGTTGAAAAAGGTCCCCAGCAACAATATGCTGGTCGCAAGATGCGACTGAAAGGACCGGGTGGGCAGACTCGGTAGACTGCATGTCACCCCACCCCGAAGGCGTGTATCTTTGCTCACAACACCAGTCACTGGATTGTTTGGTCCAGTCTCGATGATTTACAGGCCTCCGTCATAATTTTGTGTTGTTTAACGCCGCACGCAGCGATATTCCAGCTATATGACAGCGGTCTGTAAATAATCGATCCCGGACCAGACAATCCAGTGATTAACATCATGATCATCGATCTGCGCAATTGCTTCACCACCCGATCCCGTTAGTCGCCTCTTACGACAAGCATGGGTTGCTGAAGACCAATTCTAAACCGACTCTTCACGAGTACCGCTGTCTTATAACTGGAATATTGCGGAGGATGGCTTTAAACAAACAAACAGATATATTTAAAAAAATGCAATACATCAACGTGATGTGGTATATTTAGACGATACATTCCCTTTAACGAAATATCAGAGAAACGGATGATGTCTTACGCCGCATTGAGCACGAATACTGACTGTTTCTGTTATACTTCACAGCTATCTGAAGATAGTCGCACTGTTTAACAGCTTCTATCCACACTGCCGGGTCAAACCCATCGCACAATGAATAAATGAGTATGGTCTTATGCCGCTTTTAGCAATATTCCATCAATATCACGGCGGGGGACACCGTAAAATGGGCTTCACACATGGTACCCATGTTGGGAACCAAACCCCGGGCCTTCGAAGTGAAGAGCCAACGCCTTAACCACCAGGCTACCCCACCGCCCCATCGCACAATGAAGCATCCTCATGCCATCGTGGTCTTGCATGGGGACCTATTATCACATGGAATCCCTTAGTTGAAATATGTCGTGGAATGCTTACCCGTTCCACAGAAAACAGTTTTCAGTTTTCCCACAGAATCACTGGCTGAGTTTCTCGTGTGTGTTTCTCGTGCTCTGTTTAATGCTACATTTCACAGCTTCTGCACGTGACCTTTAATAATCGAATCTGAACTAACAGAACCAGTGATCCCAAGGGAGACGAGCAACACGTCCTCCACACGATAGGGATACGATGACCCGCTAAAGCCTATAGAATTGGCTACCCGATTCCAATATGTGTCGGGATAATTCTAGGCTGGGGCCTTGTGCTTTTAGTCGCTAAATTTGAAATAAGGCTCACATTTTCAAATACAATGGGGCATTTTAACATTGTGCCTTGTGCTGTATTGGCAAGTGTGTGTGTACCTCTGGAATATTTGAAATTCTCACATAAAGGGCCCTATGTCAGAAAATTCCTAGAGTAAATTCCCTTGGGTCCACTATACTTGTCGTAAGAGGCGACTAACGGGATCGGGTGGTCAGGCTCGTTGACTTGGTTGATGCATGTCATCGATCCCAATTGCGTGGATCGATGCTCGTGATATCAATCACTGGATTGTCTGGTCCAGACTCGATTATTTACACAGACCGCCGTAATATAGCTGGAATATTGCGGAATGCGGCGTTAAACAACAAACATACAATCAAACAAACACAAACGATGGATCGGCTGTTTGCACTAGTCCGGACAAATGTCGATTTTATAGTGCTAGACCACTGAGTTATCTTTTACGTCCTTTGGTATCGAACCCTTAGACCATTCGGGGGGGGGGGGGGGGGGGGGCCTCGACAGCTCCATTCAAATAATCAGTCTCCTTATTTCTGTATTTTGTGTAGGTAGGTGTTATGTCTTCGTTTGTATGACACTATGGGGTTAAACTACAACAGCACATAATCACTGGATTGTCTGATCCAGACTTGATCATTTACAGACCGTCGTCATATAGCTGGAATATTGCTGAGTGCGGCGTTAAAACCCCAACCAACCAACCAACCACAGCACATATGCAAGACAGAAACATGTGTATGCAGGAAATATATATGATAATCTCATGTTTATAAACGATATATCTGTATGTATGTGTGCCACCGAAGACCAGGTTAAATTTCTCACATGCGTACAATTACAACTTGACAACGTACATATACCCCCCCCCCCCCCCCCCCCCCCCCCCCACACACACACACACACACTTTCCCCACCCCCCACCATTGACACCCACCCACAACACTCACGGCATGATATGGGTCGAGTAATGCTGAAGCGGCGTTATTCACAGACAATATATACAATCGATTAATTGATGTAGATATTGCGTGCATTGTCTACTCCATTATATATTCTGCAACATAGCTCGGTGAATTATTGAAACATTTTTTCGGTGAAGGAATGTTTCAAAATCAGCTTATCACTGAAATCCAGAGACCACAAAATAGATGTGGTCTGCTGAAATCCATCGAATTTTCTGCACAATGAATAATTGATGGTACCAGAAACCGCCAAGAACTTCTTTTGCGATACTTGATATATCATGAAGGTAGGTGTTGTACTATTTAAGTAAGATATGGTGTGTTAATGGTCAATACGATGAAATAAAAACAGATTCTGGCCCCATACAATTTATTGCATTCGATTTAAAGTCATAAATTATATTACCAATTAAAGTTCACAAGTAAATCATCATGATGACGTAACAAAGCTATTGAACAGCTATCATCTGATTAACGACCCAACTGCACTTCCCCGTTTGTAGCCAAAGAATGCAGTGTATTTCCTCGTGAGTAATATGCATTTCATTAGAGAGCCAGCGGCAAAAAACACGCACCGACCATGCTTCGTTAACTGCGCATGCGCGGAGCTACTTTGCTTCATGTCGACAAGCTTACAACGCCCTCCAGTGTCAAATTTTGTTACCAAAGGTAAGCCCATACTGACGTGGTTACCCGCAAATACAACGAAATCTAGTTAATTTGTGATCAGACTGCATCTAATAAATGTACAAAAATCTGAAATGTAGTCACGAATAACGTATAAGTTTACTAGAATGGGATCGGTGTCGTTTTCTCACTGCGGATGTAAATGTGTCCGCCATTTTGAATGAAAAAGACGAAGAACACATTCAAGGCAATATTTTAGTTCCCAGGTTCGGACGAAAGCTCAAAATTCTTATCAAAAGGATACAGATTCAATCTATGAACAATATAAAATCATTTTGGTGGGAATTAAATCCACGGTGTTTCAAAAGACACTATTATTATTCGCGCACGACCTGCTGTCTGCTCCTGGGTCGGTGTTTTCGCAGAGGGCGCTGGCATGGCGGTGGGGGCGCTGAGTGTCACCCTTGTATCCTCCTAGCGGCCAAATCTTTCTTCACTACCCTAAACTCTTGATAGAAGCCAGGGAAACACACATCAGTGATACAATCTTCAATTAAAAGGAGAAACATTCTCTTAACATGTTATGGGAAACGAAAGCCCATTCTCAAGGACACTCGCCAGCCACTTACAATGTAAACAAGCATCAAATACAGAGAATCAAATGTTGAATATATGTTCGCGTACTTAGACCAGCAGCTCACTCTATCCTGATAGTCAAGTTAAAACAAAAGGGATATGGATGATGAAAATGTGGCATAAGGTTCTAATTATAAAATAAATGTTAGGATGATATGATAAGTGTGCCCATTAAATTAATGTTTTTTATCTGAAAAATGTCGAGCCCAAGCTATGAAAAAATAAAAACAATAAAATCCATTAAAACCTTTAACTGATGTGTAGTTGTAGAGTATGTTAAACCATTCTACACTTTCAATATCTACTATGGGAATTTCAGATAGGGATTATCTTTTGATGTCTTCTCGAAATATCAGATATGTCATAGAATCTATAGAAGTTTCAATTACACAGGATTAAAGAAACATTTGGCTTGAATTATAGATTAAACTTTTGTACATGGACAAGTGCACATGAAAAAGACGGGCAAGTCAATCGTTTATCTTGTGGATGCCCTAGCTTGTGTATATTGCATATTGTATATTACACAAAACCATACGCACTCACTCACTCACCGATCTTATGATTTCTCAACCTCGATTATCCGTTATGTTATACCTGTAATCATATATAGCCTGAACCAGTCTCTGAGACACGTACATTTAATGAAATCAGAAAACTGTAATAAATGAATTGGGCTTATAAGATGTTTTCCTGAGTATCACAACATTGATATTATTTGTTGTGGTACATACATTCTGGTTGTGATTAAGATAGCATGGAACAAGGATACTCGAGTACTGGTGATACTGCTGGTCAGTACTGTCACGATAGAACAGTGTGATTTGATTGGGTGGGTTTTTTAAAGTCGTGTCATTTGAACTGGTCTCCAACTGAAGCTGTCATGGTGATTTGGTACAGAATATTTATTTTATTAAAATGGAGATACACTATTAAGGATGATTTCCCAGGATGCTTTATGAAAAGGTGGTAAATCTTTTCAACCTCTGGGACCTCCGCCATGGTCTAGAGGTAGAGCATCTGCCTGGAGAGCGGAAGGTATTGGGTTTCAATCCCCTGCCGCGTCATACCAAAAGACTTTGAAAGATGGTACTTCTTGTCACCCTGTATACTGTGCTTGAGTGGGATATTCATGTTAAACTCCATTGGCTAGCACTAGAAAATTGACATTTGTCCGGACTAATTTACAAACTGACACACACACACACACGCATGCATGAATGCTATTGGAGTGCAATAAGCTTGAAAGGAAGTTACAGCCCATTTCACCTCACATCTTTAACCTCTGCCTTGTATCCCTTTTCGGTGTGTTTTGTAGTCAAACCCAACAAGCTGCCACAAAGTGGGAGTGGGATATAAGAATGGCTGCCGTCTGGCTGTCCGCCTGTAACATTTTGTTTCCAGAGCATAACTTGGAAAACATTTAATATTGTATGATGAAACTTTGCATATGTATCAAACATGCAGTACTGATGCCTTTTGATGGCTTGGTGTTTCTACAAAAAGTATTATTTGTGTTTCGATGGCAACAAACTGGACCTGGACTCAAATACTTTTAGCATTCATTTCCGGAGCATAACTACACATGCTGAACTGGTGCCTTTGCTGTTTCCTTCTGGATCATGTATCTATTATTATTTTGATATTTTAACTTTTTATCCATATTATCAGAGTACTGAAATTTTCTACTATTTTGTGATCTACGTAGGGTTGTCAAAGAACCGTCACACTCATTACTTCATTGAATGTAACACTTGTCAAAGGAACTTGTACAAGATAAATAGTGAATGGTGAAAAAAAACACAAATCACAATTTACAAGTCGCACCTGAACCAACTTCATTGCAGTGAGTTGAAATTTTTTTTTAGTGCTAGCAATTTGGCCATGTACAGAAAGATCCAGTGAACTTGTCAAGACCGAGTTAAGAAATAGATGCCAAACTTACTTTATCTGGAGCGCCCTCCCTCCCCACACTCTCTCTCTCTCTCTCTCTCTCTCTCTCTCTCATATTAAGCTGCATAGTTCTTACACTACATGAATTCATTCATTGAATAACACCCATTGTTGGAGAAATTGATTCATCAATTTTCGTTTCATCAGATTATAGTTATACAGATAAACCTTTGAACTCTTATTGAGTAATGCTTTGGTCAATAATATCATCGTATTTCCAATCTTTGGTACAATAAAGCTTGCATTAGATCACAATAACAAATCTATAATAGTTCATTAGTATGATAGAATAATGCCCTATTCAGATTGTCACCGTATGTGCATGGCTAAACATGTTAATATGAATAGGTTTTGAAGAACCAGTCAAAGAAAACTTATGCCACTGCAAGTAATGTATTTTTCCATTTTTATGAAATGACTCAAAAAGTATTTTCTTTTTTGTCACTTCCTTCTAGATACATTGTATAACCAAATCTATCTGGATTGTGCAGATGAAGACCGTGAGAATGCAGGTGGCCCAGTTAGGACTGAATTTAAAACTTGTATTTACTACTTGTGAATACCAACTGTGTTGATATTGTCATTTCACTGTTTATCAATTTTCTGAGTAGATTTCTAAGTTGTATCTTTTATTTGCAGGTAAGCTAGTGGAGCCAGGTAAGCCAGTGGAGCCATGGACCAGGTGGCTGGGGTAACTCCAGCCTCTGGCCAGAACTTAAATGACCTTCAAAACTATCTGGTGACTTTTAACAAGGAAATTGAGGGAGAACAGACACCAGGGACTCAACACATACGCCCCATACAAATATCCACTGTGCCTAACAAGGGTCAAGTGGTCATACAAGATGGTGGTGCTGCTCTTGCAGGAGCTGACCCCACAACTTCTCAAGCACAGGCTGTTGGTGGCTTCTACAAGGAGCAGGGTATCATTGATGGTAATCTAGAGGGAACTGCAGTTCAACTTATTCAGGGGATAGTGTCGGCCCCATTGACAGGGGCTGAGCAGGTGCCAGATGATGCATCTGCTCTGGTCGGTGTGGAAAAATCTGAAGCAGATGCCATCAATTCCCAGTACCAGACTTACATAGCAGATTTAACAGGTGATGGAACACAAATTATTGGTGGGTTGGATGGCTCAATTTCTACACAGGAGATCAGTTCTTCCATGGTTCAGAGTTTGATGAATCCTTCAACATCAGGGAACATCATAAGGATTGTATCCATGGGGGCTGATGGCCAGATGCAGTTTGTCAGTGAAGAGATCCCACAAGGTACTGAACTCACCGAGGTACCTAAAGAACTAACTCCTCATAGCGTTGAAGGCATTGAACAACCGGATGTTATCGATGGAACCGATCCAGTTGCAGTCTTGGCTTCAATTGCAGCTAATACCTCCAATGCTGTGAATCATCTTCAGGCAGTTCCAGTTAGTCAGAGTGAGATGCATAATGCCCAGCTGGTGGCCCTCCAGAACTCCGCGGACAGCTCTCAGCCGCAGCTTGTAGCTGTGCAGGCTGGGGACGGAATGGATGAGACTCTTCAAGTTATCGGTGCAGCTGAAGGTGCTACGGACAATTCAGTCATCTTCAATGCTGGTAACTCATTCCAGACTGTCACCATTGTTCCTTCTGAAGTCGGCAAGGATGGTGAGGTGAGCTACGTCCTGATAGTTTCACAACCAGATGGAGAAAAAGATGCAAATGGTAAACCTATTACGACTGATATGTCTGTGTTTGACTTTAAAGAAGAAGCTCGGGAAATAAGCACGGAAGAGATAATTGATGAGGATGGAACAACCAAAAGAATTTTGAAAATTACACCAAAGAGAGCATATGCTACAGGATCTCCCAATCAACTGATGTGTCATTATTGTAACTACACAAGTCCGAAGAGGTATCTCTTATCTCGGCACATGAAGTCTCATTCAGAAGAACGCCCACACAAGTGTACAATCTGTGATCGTGGTTTCAAGACAATTGCATCTTTGACTAATCATGTGAACACTCACACTGGTCACAGGCCTCACAAATGTAAGGACTGTGAAGCAGCATTCACAACATCGGGTGAACTTGTGCGCCATATTAGGTACCGGCATACTTTTGAGAAGCCTCATAAGTGTTTAGTTTGTGACTATGCTAGTGTTGAACTCAGCAAGTTAAAGAGACATATGCGCTCTCATACAGGTGAACGACCATATCAGTGCCCAAACTGTGCATATGCAAGTCCGGACACTTACAAATTAAAGCGTCATCTACGCATCCATACAGGCGAGAAGCCGTACGAATGTGATGTTTGCCATGCTCGATTTACTCAGAGTAACAGTTTGAAAGCCCACAAACTTATACATTCCGGAGACAAACCTGTGTACCAGTGTGATCTATGTCCAACAACTTGTGGACGGAAAACAGATCTGAAAATACATATCCAAAAACTTCACACCAGTGAAAGACCACTGATTTGTCGTAAATGTAACAAAACGTTCCCAGATCGCTACTCCTACAAAATGCACAACAAGAACCATGATGGGGAGAAATGTTTCAAATGTGATTTTGGGAACTGTGACTATGCAGCTTTGTCACAGCGCCATCTGGATAGTCACCTGCTCACACACTCAGGGATTAAGCCCTTCGAGTGTGATGAATGTGATCAGACATTCCGCCAGAAACAGCTCCTCAGACGACACAAGAACCTTCATCACACCCCGGACTACATGCCACCTGCTCCCAGGGAGAAGATGCATGACTGTTCCGAGTGTGAGAAATCTTTTGCTCATAAGGGGAATCTTGTACGTCACTTGCAGCAGCATGGTATAGAATGTAGTTTGTCAGATGATGAGGATTCGGAGGCAGGTACCTCTGCAACGAATGTGCCCCAAGTCAATGATCAACTACACAATAATCTTATGCAGGACTTGCGAGCAGGGAAGCTGGGTAATGCTCCTCAAGTTGTTATTGTTCATCCTGATGGACGGGTGGAGGAGTTCTCCTCCAGGTTAGATCCTGCCGAGAAGGGTGTTGATGAACTATTAATGGCAATAGACAGCTCTGAGCAACTCAACATGGAAAAGAGCGAGGGAGTCGTTCCTGAAGGTGTTTATGAGTCTGAAGCACAGAATGATGAGGTAAGCATTGGTTTCGGCCGTATTTTCAGGGCGGTCTCACAACACACAAGTCACAGTAACAGTTAAGTAAGTTAGAAGAGATCCCATTATGATCCAAGGGGTGGTCGGGAAGTCTAGTGGTTAAAGCGTTTGTTTGTCAAGCCGAAGACCCAGGTTTGATTCCCGACATGGGCTAAAATGTCTGGTCACAGCTAAAAGCGGTGTTAAACCATACTCACACACACACACACACACACACACACACCATAATGATCCGGGATACAGTGATAATTCTAGGTTGGGGCCTTGTGCTTTTAGCCCCTAAATTTGAAAAAAGGCCCACATTTTCAAATGCAATGGGGCATTTTAACGTTCTGCTGTATGGGCAAGTGTGGGTGTACCTCTGGCATGTCTTGAATATATGAAATTTTCACATAAAGGGCCCATGTCAGAAAATTCCTGTTGTGAAACCTAGGTATAAAATTAAGCAACCCATGCTTTACATAAGGGTTGACTAATGGCATCAGATGATCTGACTTTGTTGACTGGGTTGAAGATGTCAATGAATCCCAATTGCATAGATCGATGCTCGTGATGTCAATCACTGGATTGTCTGATCCAGATTTGATTATTTACAGACATCCGTTATATAGCTTGAATATTGGTGTATTAAACAACAAACAATCAAAAAGATGAGAGCGGGCATGTGTGGTCAAGTATTCAAAAGGGATCAATTTACTGTGTAGAGTTACGTCCCTTACCAGGGGTAGACACCACAAGTCCGATCAAACTAGTTTATTGTCATTTTGGACCAGTGGTTTCATGTACCCTGTTTTCTTCAAGCAGAAAAGAAACTAGGCTTTTCTGATTAAAACTTGCACTGTATTAGCTGATAATGGCAGTGTACTGCTGAAACCTGATATTTGTGGTTTGAATCCTAGATGTGACCCGTGAAGATCGGGGGTAGAATAGGTCTTCAGCAACCCATGCTAGCCGTAAAAAAGCGACTGTGCTTGTTGTAAGAGGCGACTAACGGGATTGGGTGGTCAGGCTTGCTGACTTGGTTGATGCATGTCATCGATCCCCATTTCGTGGATGATATTAATCACTGGATTGTCTGGTCCAGACTCCATTATTTACAGACTGCCGTCATATAGCTGGAATATTGCTGAATGCAGCATTAAACAACAAACCAACCAATTGAACCCTAGTTAGAGACAATCAGACTAAAACTATAACAAATCACAAAATATTAATTCAACACTCTACTTTGTGCATCAATACAGTTCTTGTAAAATTGTTGTTTATAAATGCGCAATATTCTTTTTTTTTCAGATGAACCATTAACTTTGCATGACTAAATAATGTGGTGGCAAAAGTCCTGAAAATATTCAGTATTCCTTTGCAGAAACGAGAAGCAGGAACACAGGTAGAGATAGACTCTGACACTGATGATGACATAGAGGTCACCTTCCGCCAGCAGAAGATTGTCAAGAAGACCGTGAAGCTCGAACCCCAGAAGCTGGACATGGTTGATCTCTACCCAATCAGTGAAATGAAAAGCTTGGTAGAGGTTGGCAACGAGATGAACAGTATCCTTCCCAAACCAGCACCTAGCAACACATACGCAGTATTGACAAGCCAACCTAAGACATCTACTCAAACCACATCATCGATCAATATCCCTAAAATTGTTACTGTGGTTGCACCGAAAAGTAGCGGGCCACTCTCACCAACGAAGCAAGGTTCCAGTGATACTATGAGGTGAGCTGTCATTTGCATTGTTTTATGAACAATAAGCATGATAAGTCATAGCTGTAGGTGAGTGCTCTGTCAAGACAACATGGGTTAAAAATAATTATACTTTTATTAATTAGGTCAAATCTGAATCGTTTATTTGTAAGCAAATAAGCCCCAACAATGTTTTTTTAGTTGAGAAAAAATGTTATCTTCATCTTGTCTTATCTGCAGTTTTGGCAACTGAGAGCAGTGTTTTGATGGGTTTGTGACTTAATACTTTCATATATATAGTACTTACATAGATAATAACTCCTCTATAATTGGTACTTCATGTTGAAAATGCTCATGTAAGTTAAAGTTGATTTGTTATTTGGATGTTTTTGGATGAGTTTTTTATTTGTTTGGTTGAACAGTATCAAAAGAAAACAGAAAATACAAAAACAATTGTCTGTTTGCAAAAACTGGTGGGTCACAATGTTTGCAACTGTAATTAACGTGCAGTAGACAATGCTGGAGGATGCCATGAAACAAGTGGAAAGGGGAAAAGAGTAAAGACTTTAGAAAATTGTCAAGACAGTGATAGGATTTCGGCTGCTTATTGAGATCCCTTTCAATTTCTAAATATGCCACTTATAAAACTATTGTCAAATGTTGACTGTCCAATTCATTCTAGAAATTTTGTGGTGGACATTCAGAGGATAGACTAAATATGACACATATTTTGTCAACATAGTGTCACATATTATCCCATCCTCACTCGCTGGCACTTCCTGGATGGTCAGACATGGTGTCTTGGTTGACAGTGTGGCGTCATACCTAATGACATTGCTCATTGCTCATGATGCTGATCTCTGGATTGTCTGGTCCAGACTTTATTGTATAAAGGCCACTGTTGTATGGTGGGAGAATTGCTGGGTGTGGCATTAGGCAACAGCCACTGCTTACCCTATTCACGAACACCTGGTGTCATCACTGATTTTCATTGTTCCGTTCATATTACTTTAATCACTAATTTACGTTTTACGTGACCCGTGAAGAACCCGGGAAGAATAGGTCTTCAGTAACCCATGGTTGCCATAAAAGGCGACTATGCTTGTCGTAGGAGGCAACTAACGGGATCGGGTGGTCAGGCTCGCTGACTTGGTTGATGCATGTCATAGATCCCAATTGTGTTGATCGATGCCCACGATGTCAATCATTTGCAGACAGCCGTCATATAGCTGGAATATTGCTGAGTGTGGCGTTAAACAACAAACAAACACAGGATTATTGCTGCAATATGTGCAAACGTAGCACAAATCTTTCCATATCTGGTTTAACTTTCATCTCTGAACGAACATGATGAGTAAAGTGTGTCTACTTTCAGTGCTGTTAAGAGGAAGCTTCCTGTTGATGAGGGCTCCCCAGCTAAACGAACAAGGAAAGCTACAGCAGATAGCAAAGTTTGAGACATGGCTATAATAACACTGGTATGTTTAAAGTCTATTTGCTCACATTTTTCATGCCATCATTTTCAGCAGCAGATACAGTATATAACCAGGTCTTGGCCGACCCCAAGCTTGACTCGTGAAATCACTACCTAAATGGTATGCCTTGTACTACATATCAGGGTACAGCCGATAGGAATACAATGCACATGTAGTGATGTTTTGAATCCAAGCTACATCGGCAAAGCTGGCTTGTCTAAGGCTTAAAAAAATAAGAGAATTGGTTCTCAGGCAATGGCTTTTGAAAATATCGTGCAGGCGGGAGATGTTTTTTTTTTTTTTTTTGCTTATTCAAACTAGTATGCAATCAAATAAACAGTTGTGTACCATCAACCTGGGAAAGGGCCTTCCTACTAAACAAGCATACAAACTCCTACTGCCGCCATGACCATAACACAAGATACACAGCAAAGCAGTGTGTATGTAAAGGGAAGTAACTGTGTGCTATATTGGATCTCATTGTTTTTAAGTATTAGGATTTTATTATTGTTTTTAAAATCAAAATAAAATGAAACGTGCAACATACTTTATGATGATGATATGGGCGGTGCCTGAGAACCAAGATTATTATTTTTTTTAGCCTAATCTAATAATTGAAGACAATAAACTGCTAATCCAAGTGAGTACAGTAACTATGTAACTACAGTAAGTGGCTATGCTATTCTATTGGCATTCACTATTGCCCTGCCCTCCCTTTTATGCTGTTATTTTTATTTGCCCATACCCAGTAATATTTGATGGAAACTTTTTGTCCAATCTCACTGGAGGGTTGCCTAGTTTCTGGCTTTTGAATAGTGTACACAGAGTGCCACAACTGGCACAAGTACAATAGTGTCTATGGCAGGAGATGTTTATTGTTGTTTGTTTTTTGTTTCATGCCGCACTCAGCAGTATTACAGCTATATGACGTCAGTCTGCAAATTATTGAGTCTTGACCAGACAATCCAGTGATTGAAATCATGAGTATCGATCCAAGCAATTTTGTATGCATCAACCGAGTCAGCTAGCCTGGCCACCCGATCCTGTTAGTTGTCCCTTACGACCAGCATGGTTGCCTTTCCTTGCAAGCATGGGTTGCTGAAGACCTATTCTACCACAGATCTTTATTGGTCTGATGTTATCAGATTGGGAACCACGATGACTTTGCCAAGGCTTGACTACATTAGTCTTGATGCCACAGTTTTATAAAGATAAGAGTGTACTCAAATGTTCTTCTTTTTTCAGACATGACAACATTATTGCTGGAAGTAAATGCTTGGAATGAAGCTCACAGCACCTGACCATGTGTACAGTACATCAAAAAACATGTTACAGCATCATCAGTTGGGCCACTGTCCTTTCCAGACATACAGATCTTCATATTGAACAAATAAGTTAACAGGTTGGAATTAAGTGTCAATAATAATTAAAAAATCAGGAACAATTTTTAAAGGCAAATAGGATGATAGCATACTGACATATGATCATTAATATGTTTATGTTTGAAAAATTGTTCTTGTGTAAGTTTTTCCAGTATTCAAATTATCCTATTTTATGGATCTGTAAGTCAGGAAATATATTTGTGAGTGGCCTTCCTGATCCCACATTGGAAGTGAAAGTTAATTTACATTCCTGGGTGTAGGGGAGATAATTTGGATGTGTTAGGTTACCTCCCTTTGGTTACCCAGCCTTTTTGCTGTTTGGCTCAACATTACTTTGATAGTATTTATTATAGGAATAAAGCATGAGTTTTTTTTACGTGACTCTTGTCTCCAGTATTAAAGTTTCATTTTGTATGGTTGTGTAGATATCTTGGTATGGCATTCTGGAGCATCAGATTATGGAAGGAAGTCTTGCTCTTGAAGTCATTTAAAGAATGAGCTCATGGATGTGGTAGCAGATATTGACATCTCTTTGCTGTATTTAGTTCCTACCGTCCACTGATCACACAGATGACCACATGTACTCCATTCCATGGAGCCTGAGAAACATGGGGATTCAATACTTATGTGTATCATGGCTGTTCATCGGGTTCAAGTGACAGATGCCTCCTAGTATGTGTAGCAACTACCATGAAACTGTTCCAAACCTTTGTTCAACGTTTATATATCAATATTAGTGGTCGAAAATAAGGGTTGAAATTTGAACATGATAAATCTTTATTGTCATTCTAATCAAGATAAAGATTGGAGGGGTCATAACCAATTTCTGTAGATCATGACATCAGATGCAGTCAGATTGTATTGGAAAGCAATCCTGTATCAATATCAACAGATAAATGTGTTATTTATATAAGGTAGTAATATATTCAGTGAGACCTTACGTTGTAGTAAAGTATCAACCATTTATTTTGTTTTAGCAAAGTCTTAAGGACATTGTCATTGGCATTACTTACATCATCTTCCTGAGGCAAGGGAGTGAACTGACTATAAAAGTCCCATTTCCACCCTTGCCGAACTAGGATGCAATTATGGAGCTACATTTTGGATGGACTAATGAGTCATAGTTATTCATGCTATTAATCAAGGTGCTCACATGATTTGATGTACTTCGCGGGGTAAGACCCGTTTTATTACACAATAGACATTGATTATGAAACAGATCGTCTTGACTGGGTGCTGCCATTTTGTTTGAAGCAAATGCAAGTGATATGAGAGATAGAGTCTGTTGGTCAATAGGAGGAACATAGAAGGGAAGTAACTCATAAATAGCCACTGGTGGCGCTACAATCGAGCCTGGAAATTCCAGCCTAGTTCAGCAAGTGTGGAAACTGGACTTTAATAGTCAGTTAACTCCCTTGCCTTGGGAAGATGTACTAACATGTATCTTAAGGTTTCATGTTATTTGTTAGGAACCTTGCCTAACTTTGTGTTAATATTAAATTATGTGTATCAATACATTATTGGGAGACATTGATACAATATATCAGCTTTATTGACAGACTAACTTTAGTTCAAACTTCATCAAGGAATTACGAAATGAAATATTGCCTTTATAATCTTCAAGTTATTATTAGCTTAATTGGGAATTGAATGTGATTGTGTATTGTTCAATTTTTCATTCCAAAATGGCTTTATCAGGATATGATTTTATCATGGTAATTGTAAACAATAGAGTAAATGTTTCAGGTAGATATTGACTTGTATAATGTATGCTGTACTTATGTCAATGAGTCTAGATATTTGACATTCATGGAAATGTTAATTCATTTCTGAATCGTATAAATACTTATTCTAAGAGGGGAAGATGTATTTGGTATTTTTGAAAGATATTCAACTTCCCAACGAGTTACATTGTTTATGTCTGTGTTAATCGTCATGACATTATTTCTCTATTGTTGTAATGTTGATTTGTTACCTATTTGTGTTTTTTGCACCTATCTTGTATATTTGGATCAAGACACCTGTATGCATGGAATAAACTACTTGTTTATGATCGGAGTAAGGCTTACAAGTCCTTTTTTCAACAGTTGAAGGTTCTAGAAAAAATTTGGCCATGTTTCTCCAGGTTTCTTCTGATTATGGTTGTTGGTATGTCAGCGCTAGGTAGTAAAGGATCAGTAGCTTCCTCCCTCTTGGCACTCCTCCACACAGTGTTAGAGATAAAACTCAAAAGCCTTACAAGCCCGGGTAAAGATCAGATGCCCTTGTAATGTTAGGGAAATTTGTACTTGCACACAGGTATTGCCCCTGGCATAACAGGCTAGTGTTAAGGGTTCTAACCCAGTTATCTAAGGTACCACAATTCCCTGCGCTGCGTTACATCCCTCGGGCATGCCAGCAACCAAGGATCGTGAGTTCGCATCCCGGTTTGCCCTGATTGTTTTCAGTTTTGTCCGCACTAAACTGTCCTAGGTTTCACCAAGGTGGTAAACATACATTCTACAATACTGTTCAAAGCAGTGTTAAACCCAACTCACTCACTCCTCCACCTTAAGGCTGTGATGTGACTAAAATACTGTTCTAGGGAGCTTTAAACTGATGCACTCGCTGGTAGTATATGATGATACATGGATTCACGTGGGTTGTTGTTCTTTGATACTCCACTTTTGATAGGGATGTTTTATTTTTCCACAATACACACAGTTAATTCTCATAATACCTTGTGTACATTTAAATAGAATGACATCTGGTTATCCCTATCAAAAGTTCAGAAGTATATTTGTGAGTCCTAGGGAGACATTCATTTTCATTTTTGGGAAGGAGTGTTCCAGGTTTTACAATGGGGGCCCAGTGTTTACTACAGTATCAACACATTCGTAAACACGCATACACACTACGCGAACATAAACAAATGTGTTTTACAAGCATTATTTATAGGAAATCGAGTTTTTCGGACAGAGATAATTTGCAACTACGCAAAAGCAAACTCGTGTGTTTCAGGTTGAAATCACAGATGGGGATCACATCTAGGTTAGAATTGATCTTCAGCAACCCATGCTTGTCGTAAGAGGCGACTAAGGGGATCGGGTGGTGAAGCTTGCTGACTTGGTTTATGCATGTCATCGTAACACAATTGCGTAGATCGATGATCATGATGTTAATCACTGGATTGTGTGGTCCAGACTCGATTAATGACAGACCGACGTCATATAGCTGGAATGTTGCCGTCATATAGCTGGAATGTTGCGGAGAGCGGCATTAAACAACAAACAGACAAACAAACAAACAAACAGAAAGGTATTTGGGAATCACTGGTATCATTTGACTGCTTCATACATGGTTCCAGCCGATGTTTGGCCTTCCCACTGGTGTTGTCGGGTAGTTGCTGTGGTTGCCTATCCACACGACCTGTGTTTGATACAGCTTATTCCAGAAGTGCATGGGAACCACACTTTAAGTACTTGTGAAGTGTATTTTCAGATACACATACAAAACACAATTTGTAAACGGCCGAGTCCCATGTTGACGTAATATGACTGATATATCAACAGTCACCCAGTTTCAAATTCCAGGGCAGAATAGATCCACTCTATTTCCGTGTGTGCTGTAATAGTCACTAAAATTTTGTTACAATTTATGAATTGTTATATCCCGATCACGTGACACCGGACCAGGCTATAAAGGCACCACGTCAACCGGTACCAGTTGTGCCTGGAGAAAAGCCACTCGATTTCATTGGCGAAAACAGCACCAAATATGATATATGGTACAGAGTATAGACTTGCTTATCGTATACACAAAGAAAAATGTTAAGCACAGCCCTATTTCTGAACCATGACACATGGCAACAAGAATCATCAGAAAGATGACATATCCCCGGCAGCTGCCTGTAAAGTAACCACAAGTAAATGCGCAATTCTGTATGTAATCAGTCAAGAGTTGAATGTTCTTGAAGAAACATACATTGTTTACCCACACCATGGTCGCATCCTTATGAAATGGAAAGTAAAACAAGTGTGTTTCTGTGTGTGTTTTTTATGCAAACAAATGACAAATTACAAGAAACAATAACTAAACAAGCGTATAGTCAACGAAGTCATCTTTTTCCCCCGCCCAATTTAACACGTTATGGTCCCAAACCCGGTTACTGACCCAACATTTCTCTTAGCCCATGTCAAAAAAGCTGCAATGGAAATTCTAAAATAAACATTTCTAAAACTCCTTAATATCAAATGGCGTCAGTTTATATATAGACATGCAATGTTTGGCAAGGAAATATTTAACAGTTTATTTGTTATACTCCATAAGGGAACCCACCCTATATTAAAACTTAAATCCAACTTGTTGCAATGGAAACGTAAAAAATAAAAATTTCTAAAAGTCCTAAATAGTAAAAGGCACCAGTTCAGTATTTGCCTGGTAGGCATGCAAAGTTTTGTAAGAAAGTATTTAACGGTTTTTGAGTTACGCTCCGGAAATGAACACCACCCTTATAGAACCTAAGTTCAACTTGTTGCAATGGAAACGTAAAAAATAAAAATTTCTAAAATTCCAATATAGCAAAAAGCACAACTTCAGTATGTGACTGATAGATTTGCCTAGTTTCGATCAAATACACTGAATTGTTCTGTCCCGGAAAAAGAAATGATTACGGACGGACGGACGGACGGACGGACGGACGGACGGACAGACAGACTGGCTGATTGCTATACTCGAGGGTGGCATGCTGCACGGGCATACCGCACATTGCACGTGAGCTTTCGTCACGCATGACTGATTGCATCATCTCGAGAAAACATAATTCTTCCCGTAATTATATCTTTCATGACTGTTACAAATATTGGGACCAAACAATAATTACATATATTAACACGTTCCTACTAGTGGACAGCTTTGGTGTGTGGTCGTGTGCATGAGCACGCATTTATGAATCCCTATCAAATAGCGATGACACCAGGTATTCGCGAAAAGATGGGCCTATCCTGCCCCGCCGGTGGCACACCGCAAGAAATTCTGAAAACAACTACCACTTTTTTAAAGTTATGTATGCCCTTGCTTTTATTACCAAGTATTGTAACAATTAACATTACATATTTGTCAGATGCGCACCTTAAAAACAATTATGAGGCTTTGGTTATAAAGAGATTCAATTGGTCTCAGTCAGCTACGACACACAAACTATAACTTAAAGCCTCCCCGCCAAGGTTGTACTAAAGGACGGAAAACAAATTGTGCGATCCCTAAACGCCTAACCACTAGTAATGTATTATTTAATCATTTTCGGGGAAACAGGTATAAGAAAAAACTCATCCTCCATTTGACCCAGCGAACACAATCAATTGTTATGGCATAACCCACAGCATCGTCTCGGGGCTCGGGAAGTGCACCATTCATTCACACGGGACAGATGACCACAATTCCTCTTTAATAACGATTCTCTAAATATCTCCGCCACGTCTGGCCGTCTATTGGATATTGATTGTGCGGTGTGGGAAATATGAATGAAATTGCCCCGGCCATATAGGGATTTATAAACAGTTAACATAACACCGAAAAAAATGATGTATGGTCGCCTGTGACACAACCTCTCATCACTGGAGCTGTGGTGAGGCTGATGGTGTTTTCAGTGAGATGCTGAAGCACGTGAAGGATGAAGCATCATGTAACAGCTGATGTGGGACACATATAGAGTGGGGGTGGGATTTTTACGTGTCTACTTAAATTTACAAAGTAGAAACAATTTTATGGATAACAACTTCTTTAATACTGTAAAATCCGACGTTTCGGTATAGATCCTTATACCGTTGTCAAGCAAGTTTTTCTTGATTGTGTCTACCTTGTCATCCGTCAACTTCTAAGTAATGCCTATCAAACAATTTACTTAAATTTGACCAAATAGAAACAATAAGTTAACCCGGACATCTATACCTAAAAGAACTCAGTGTGAAACCAGCCAACAAACAAAGACATGGTATACAATCAACAATTGAATTATATAATTAACTAGGTTTATAAATCAATACAAATCCCTGCAAAGTAATTACAATGGCGTACACTGGCAGTACACACGTCAATGGTAGAATAAAATACAAAAGTGGTATTAGCAATAAAGTCAGTGATAATAATATTCACCTAGCAGCAACTCTGGTCAAGCTCAGGAACTCGATGATAGCGTGTACAGCATAATATACACTCTTCACAAAAAGAAACGCACAGGTAGATTTTTAGTTAATTTATTGTACCTAATAAAGTCGATATATTTAATTTAATATCATAGATACAAATATGACATTTTGGAACTCGATAGTCACATGTTGTCGTTGTACAAAGGCATTGAAAACTGTTCATTGTCATGTCACATACGGCCACAAGGTTGTGCTGAACTCAGTATCTCGTGTGACCGCTCCGGGCAGCAATCACGGCTCTGCATCTCCTCGGCACTGACTGGATAAGTGTACGAATTCTGTCCTGCGGAATTCTGCGCCATTCTGCTTGTAACGCGTTTGCCAGTTGTGGGGGTGTCTGCGTCGTGTTCTGACGTTGACGTACTCGTCAGATTGGGTTGAGATTAGGAGATCTCGACTGCCAGGCCAAGACGTTGATGTTGGCATGTGTGAGGGTAGTCTACCGTGACACGAGTTGTGTGCGGTGGAGCGTTGTCCTGTTTAAACAGTTCCCACTGGCGGTCAATGAATGGAAGAAGGTTAGGTTGAAGAATTTGATTTATGTTGCGATTTGCCGTCAAATTTCCCTGAACCACAACCAAGTCAGATCTAGTGATGTAGGATATGGACCCCCACACTATGACACTACCGCCACCGAAATTGTCGAATTCACGTACACAATGTGGGGCAAAACGCTCATTTCGACGACGATAAACACGTTGTCTTCCATTTCGCCAGTGAAGAAGAAATCGTGATTCATCGCTAAACCACACTCGTCTCCAGTTTCTCAAATTCCAAAGCTGTAAGGTATGGCACCAACGCAAGCGTCGCTGTCGATGGATCAGTTGCAAAACAGGGACGATAACTGGTCTTCTGGGTCGGATTCCAGCCTCGCGAAGATGGTTCCTGACAGTCTGGTCCGATATCCTCCTAAACCAGGGATGCGTCCTGCAGTCTCCGTAGCTGTAGCATTGCGATGACGTAGGTGGAACAGTCGAATGTAGCGATCCTGTGCATTGGTGGTAACTCTTGGTCGGCCGGTTCTCGGACGGTCTGCAGTGGAATTGAACTGTGAGTATCGGTCACAAAGGCGGCAAATGGTGCTGTGGTGGGCGTTGAAGTGGCGTGCATCAGAAGACTGCGATTCCCCTCTTTGGATACGTCCTATGGCGATGTTCCGATGTCTCGTCATTTTCGAACTTGTTGACAATTGAATGACAACTTATTGGCTTAGGCTTCTATAGCCACCAACACGAGTGACGAATGCCATAACTTGCACGTGCATTTTGTTTTACTGTTTTCCTCCATGACATATTTTAACAAGCGTGAAAACAATGCCGTTTCAGACATTGCAAATCGACAATGGCTTCGTTTTGACGCACCGTTTGTCGAATATCAGGCCACCATTATTTTCCAATTACATATATCCAATTTATATACCGGATTTTTTTTGTGTAGCCAGGTTTAATGAACTACATACTACCTGTGCGTTTCTTTTGTTTTGAAGAGTGTATATGTGTATAGAATATACATTTATAGAGGGGGGTGATTTTTTTTCTATTCGAAGTTTAGCATGTATATAGAGGAGCGGTGTTTTTTTCTATACGAATATATTATTCTTTACACGCTATCATCGGGTTCCTGTGTAGTCCAGCTTCCAAAACAGGCCAAGGATGGATTGCCAGGGTGAAAAGGGCATCTTGATACAACCTCTGTCTTGACTTAATGTGAGATGAATAGACATACGCTTGCCCAACTTAAATAGTCTAAACACCTCCTAGAAATTTATATATCATGCTGGATTTGTCGATAGCTGTTCTAGAATATTCCAGTTTACACTTGACTCAAAAAGGCATCTAAATATAGTAACTTCCACGCCACTGCTTACATTCGATAGTTATACATTCCTAACAACTAATTATTGTTAAAACACAATGTTATGAACTTCTACTAAATCTGAACAGAAACAATATAATAAAAATACGACATTGTTTTACAATACATACACTCATGTAAAAAGTAAAATAGTGATAAAAGTAATATGAATCATTCCACAGGTCTGAACAGCTCCCGGGACGCTCTAGTCTGTGTGTGGAACATCCAGGTTAAGTTCTACAGATTAGCGGGCACCTTGGCATGGAGGTATGGTTGCTGTGGTAACTACAAATAATCATAGTAGTCCTGACTCGGACCGCTCTCCAGGCCATGTTGACAGTAGCCCCCAGACCACACGGCCAGCCGTGACCTGGCATTACACACAGGTGCAGCTGTCACGGTCATCCTCCTCCCACCAATCTGATTGTTTTCGCCACAGAACCAAGCAAGTCCAACACAGCCGTACAGCCCCACGCACAAATGTTCGGTCAACATCGAAACCTAACAATATCTATTTTACAATATCTTCTACATTTTCAGAATTGAAAGTAACTCCTAAGTTAAGAACACAATTAAAATCTCATCACTTGAATCAATATTTTAAACAATCTAGAAAATCTAGCAATTAACCTCACATTTACACCTATATGGAAAAAACACAGCTTCTTCGGTCTCTGGCCGTTTGCATTCGTACAAGAGAGATGATTTTTAAAAAAACCGTTCACAAATATTTCTTTGAAATGTATGACGTCTTGAAACGTAAGTTGTGTTTACCACCTGCTGTCCTAACTGTAAATTGACATGAATGGTGACCTTTTTATAAATGTACGAAAATGAAAAATCAGACATTGGCACTGGCGTCTTCGCGTGTGGACCTACAAGAAGGTGAGAGTACATTCGGTAGGTCGCCATGTGGGTCACTGTGCTTGCCGTAAAAGGCGACTAACGGGATCGGGTGGTCAGGCTCGCTGACTTGGTTGATGCATGTCATCGTATCCCAATTGCGCGGATCGATGCTCATGATGTCAATCACTGGATTGTCTGGTCCAGACTCGATTATTAACAGACCGCCGTCATATAGCTGGAATATTGCTGAGTGCGGCGTTAAACAACAAACAAACAAACACAATGATTCTCATAAAACCACCACTCAATTACACAGTCTACACATAATCTGACGTGAGAAGAAAAGAACTGAAACGTCGCTCAAAACGGCAACCCTCCAAATAACGTGCATCCAATAACCCCGAGGTACTGCACTCCTCTCCATCATCCACAAGACTCGTTAGTAACGGGCTGTACGTTGGCTTCACGAAACCAGATGCCGTTATTGTTTCTGGACGCACCATCTGATAAAGCCATTAGCACGCTGATAACGCTGGTCCACACAACCTTGATAACTGAACCAGCATCACATCTCACATGGTCCAGAATGAAATGAAGATGTCATCTTGAGTCAGTTCAACCGGAGCCTGGTAAACCCACCATGGAACATACATTATTCCGTCTCTTCGTGCCTCAACAGATTTTGTTATCGTTATCAACGGCCCTCCCAACACAAATGTGTGAGTACCTTAAACGTTAGTGTAGTGCTTTGATTAAACGCTTGTCATAAACTTAGAAAATCGACGGGAGTGTGAAAATGAATGAGGTAAGGGGGTTGATTAGATTCTGGGTTAATACAATCTTGTAGTTGGATGACTGTAAGTGAAACTTGAAGCATGCTACTTCAACCCCATCATCAATCCATCATCTCAGAACATGCATTGATCTTTGATCTCAACTGGAAATGAAGAACGCTGAATAGCTTTATTTACGATATCCTTGTACAGCAAAGATAGTGTTACTCTTTAATAGAGCCGTGTGCTTGTATGTACATCTATTCAGTAGTTAGGAAGTTTTCGTAGACATGACCTTGCCAGATTCTTCACGATTGGTCCGATGAAGATCGTGGACATGCACTGACTAGATTCTGTTTCACTTTAAGAGCGACGTCTCCACTGTCTTGTTCCCATGTGCAATCGGGGTCTAGTCATGCAATTACTGCCTCTTGTCAAATTGAGACATTGTGTCCGAATAATCGGCAATCTCTAACTTCTAGATTCATCTACACAAGGAAGTTCGACTGGCATTCACTCAATGAGTGTTTTAAAGGCTCGATCAGTCGCGCTAGGACCAAGTCGGGATCCCATGATCCAGGATACTCAACAGCGGTTGTCCATACTTAATTATTCCCTGATTGCCTACAGCGGTTGTCCATACTTAATTATTCCCTGATTGCCTACAGCGGTTGTCCATACTTAATTATTCCCTGATTGCCTACAGCGGTTGTCCATACTTAATTATTCCCTGATTGCCTACGAGTCCATTTTAAGTGCGCATTATTGTGTAACCGTCTCTTATAGCTGTTTCTGTGTTGATGGCATGCACCCTTATTGCTTTTAGCTTTGCAAATATTTGATTTTTATGAATACAGTGTTGCAATGGCTGCACATAGGTGTTGATTCCATGCTCAGATTCCAATCTGGCAGCTTTCTCCGTGTGCTGTGCTCAGCCCCTGCTGTTGTCATCTCATATTGCAGCGGATTCCAGATTAATCACGTGAAGCATACATGTGGTGTTACATAGAAGGTATTTGTCTTCCCCTGTCAAATAACTTAACTCATCGAGTCACCTGACACAAGGGATATTTTCATGACAGGCGCGGCCCGGATGAAATGATAACGTATTCAGGGAAAGTCCAATGTTGCATGCAGTGTGTAGTTTTCAACTGCTTGTAGTCTGAGGTGAGGTGAAATGGGGTTTAACGTCGCGTCCAAGATTATTGCACTTATATAGCGACGTGCATGTACGTGTATGTGTGTGTGTGGCTGCTTGTACTAGTCCGGACTGATGCCGATTTATAGTGCTAGCTCACTGAGATACCATACCGCAGTTTAACATGAATACCCCACTCAGACACAGTATACTGACTCCGAGCCGACCAGTCCTTGTTTTAGCGCCTTAATGCCGAGCGCCAGACAGGGTCACAACAAGTACCATCTTTTAACGTCTTTTGGTATGACGCGGTCGGGGATCGAACCCCGGACCTTCCGCTCTCCGGGCGGACGCTCTACCATTAGACCATGGAGGCGGTCGCTTGTAGTCTGAAGACGATGAGGAGGCAGACATGAGAACCATAACCGGAATCGAGAGAAATATTGATTTTATGACTAAACTATGAGGTATTGACAAACACTTTCATAGTAATTAATTGGCCTGGTTATGCTATGTAAAGGTTCCATGGGCTGCTTATCAACAGCAATCACTGGAAATATAAAAGGTGGCGCAGTTTGCTGTGCGGAATCCTTTGATTTTGAGTTCGAATCCCAGATTAATCCTGCTTATGATCCCGATGTGTAAGCTTCATACCCGTGTTCATCATTTGAGGCCTGCATCACTTCGGGAGTTCCTCCCCCGCCGTGAGATGACGGAAATATTGTTCACAGCAGCGTTAGACTCAACGTACTCACGCACCCATAGACTGTTATTTCTGTACTTGCCGATGTTTGCTTCTTGTCCAGTATGTGGTGGACCATCCTCGATGATCCAGTGTATTATATCGCCAATCCTTCATGTATATACCCTGAACACCACTCGCCACATAGAGTCGTGCGGAAGTGACGTCACTAGCCCCATCTCTCTTGTCACTGACTTCGGACAGAATTTTTCTCGTTCATTATCAACATCAGACAAAAATGTCCCCTCTGAACGCGATATCGGCATTTCTAGTTTAAAAATCGCGGCCATGTCGAAGATTGCCACGAGACTGTTATGAATTAAATTTAACCTGATAAAGGTACTAGAGAAGGAAGCTATAGCGACCAAATAATCAGTGTATATTTAGACACTGATCATGTGCGTGAGTCACGTGACAGGAGGGTGAGGCGGCTGTAGTTCGTGCGCAGAAACCCCCCAGAACAGTAGGTACAGTTCGATACGGTTTTTCAATCGTTTTTCAACCTTTTTAAAGAATAAATGTCTTGACTGAGTATGGCCCGTCTTCTCTTATACAAGAATTCAGTAAAAACGACATCCTGGTTGTGTTTGAGGTAGTCGAACACTAGTGACCTTTCCGCTTGTTTCAGTCATGAAAGAACAGTCTATTTTAGCGTCGTGTCATTCTAGCCGGAGTAAAAACAAAGCTATGACAACGAATGGCCGGAGGTATGTTTCTTAATAGAATGGAGATTTAATACTCTTGGTGAGCGAGGGTGGTCGTGGGCGCGTCACTGTGCAGCACATGTACTTCTATAGCCCTTGGGGATGCTGAAGAACATTAATCAGGACTTCCGCCGCTTTCAGCAGTCTCACGCAATCGCAGCAGGACACTGCAGAGTTTATCCACATAGAGAATCGAATGTAGGTCTTCGGCGTGACGAACACTTTATCCACTAGGCCACCCAACCGCTATCACTGATGGAAGTGCTGTTAATGTTGCATCTTCTAGTCTTCGAGAGATGGAATCGGTTTACTTGAGGCTTTGATCTCACAGAAGTGCTCCTTAGGGGGCGTTCAGATGGAAAAAGGGAGAACTTGGTTATAATTAGTTTGGAATAATGTTTCAAATCCATTTTTGTTGCGTCTTGTTTGTTTGCATGTTTAAGGTAATGCGCATCTTCTAGTCGTCATGGTAATGTCATCTCCATTCTATTGAGATGGAGACCTTGACCCTGGACCCATTCGCTACCATAGCCTCGTTTTCATTCCGATTTGAGTCACGTGATGTTATTAATAGCCGTCCAGTCAAAATACTCTCATGAGCGAGCGACATTATGCGCTAAGTCTGCGATGAGAGAGGTGTCAGTGACGTCACTTCCAAAACAAAGCAATAACGAAGAATGTGTCAAGGGTATTGTTAATTTACGAATGGACATATAATACTCTGATAACCGAGGTTTTGCGATGTGAAACATTATTTGTGAGACTGGTTCACTCAGGGGTAGAATGTATGGAACCTGTTTTTTGTGTTATATTGCGGGAAATATTTCCCGCAATTTGTTTGTTTTGTGAGACACCCGTTAGTAAATGAGTACTACTGACGCCATAATGGTGTATTATCTTCTTAAATACTTTTCTGAAGAATCGCACTGGCTACACAAACTAAAACCATTATCGCAAATAAAAAATAATGAAAAACGAAATCATGTCATAAAAAAACAGTGTTTAATAATGATTTGTGACCCCATAACCTGCAGTTTACTGTTACCGGACCAGCAGAGGGTAAAACAGGGAAACAAAATAAGACTTTATCACGTCATTGACCTTCCTACTCCGCTCAGGTAGCTCTACGCTAGGAGATCGATATCGATCTGTGTGTCTGCAGCGTCCATTTACCGGCGTGTGATTGATCGGTTCTGGCAATATGCACGCTGCAGGGGTAATGGCTGCCGGTAAACAGATCAACGCTCCACTAACTTAATAAACATGGAATAGTTTTTCTCTCTGCAGATATGAAGAAACGACCGACTATTTTAACGAAGCGCTATTTTTACGGTTGCCATGGTGACATGACGGTTATTTTCACAACTGGAAGACCGAACTCAATCATTTAGGTCATAAATGTAATTATGTTGTGATGACTAAATATAAAACATTATATTGTTTCAGAGCTTGGTTGAATTGATTGATCGCCCCCGTGATTGTGTCATTGACTGAAATGATATTATTGGCTATTTGGGTACGAGAGGAACAAGGGAACAACAAAGATCTTCGATACACAATGATGCTAGGGCGCTTGTTAACTTACTTTGTCCAGGTTTTGAAAGTCGTATGTGCATGTTTGTTCAGCTTGAGTAAAGGAAGTAGCTGACTTTGTCGAGTTGTCTCCCCTTGACTGTGTACCAACACTGAGACTTTTGCTTGTGTCCTTGTGCTATGCTCATGCTGAGGTGTCAATGTCCAAGCGTCAGCGGCTGTGCATAACCAGTGTCTAACATCTACCGAAGCAGATTCCATTGGGCTTAAAAGGCAAAACAGTGGTGAAAATTACATCGATCACTGAAAAATCAATGAAGACACCAGGTGTTCATGAAAAGGCAGGTGTCCTGCTCTACCGGTAGCGCCCACACTTTTCATAAAAAAGAAAGTGTTTGTTTCCTGCATGGCGCCGTACAGGAAATACTTTGTTCCGTGGTCGTACCGGACGCTACTACACATGAAACGGCCAAAATTTAAACGTTCTTCTTCTCTGTCGTTAAAATCATTCGCGAAAACCCTATCTATGTTATTTTTTCAGTCGGGAACCGCATGTTTTTCGAAGCATAATGAACGTGGTTAAGAAAGTAATGGTTCGCCGTTTAGGATTTTTCAATTGTGATCAATCATGCAATATCACATTACACTTCATTCCTCGCTATAATTTAACCTGCAAAACTTACACCACAATTCATGCCTTGCCGTCATGATCAAACCTACAATATGTCTTTACACTAAATGCCTTGCAACTATGATCTAACCTACAATATGACATCACACTATGTCTTGCCGCCATGATCTAACCTACAATATGACATCACACTGTATG